AGATACTTTTCTAAATTTCAGTTTTTTACTAGCAATGGTTAAGATGGGAAAAACAATTCTAAAGAAGAAAAAAATCATTTTAAATTGAACCTAAGTCCTTCTAACTTAGACAGAATAAAATGAAAATGAGTTTTGTCATTTCATTCAAATGCTTTGAAGTTTAATTTGAGATTACCACTATTATATATACTTATAAATTTAAGTAAACATTCCATTATCCTTAATTTAATAAAATATATATTTTTATTTAATGAAATTATGATATTCAATACTCTCTCTGTTCTATAACGAGTGATCCAGTTGACCATTTTACACAGATTAAAAAAAGTTTAATAATGAAAGACAAAGAATACCATTTTTACTAAAATACTCATTATTAAGTATTGAGAGTGATAAAAATAATAATAATTAAATGTTAGATTTGAAAAAAAAGAAATTAATTTGCATTGTAAATTGAAATATATCATTAATTTTGAAATATTATTTTATTTTAAATGGGTTACTCATGGTAGGACGGAGGGAGTAACAGATGACATTTTAATATTATTTTATTTTAAAATAAATTAAATTTTAAGTATATTTACATATAAGATACTGGTATCCAACCAAAATTTTACTTAAGAGTATATATGGGTTGAGTCAACTCATAAAATCTGATAAAATTCACCCAAAAAAAATCCAACAAAAAAAAGTTGATCAGATAATTTGATGGATATGGGTTCAAAAGCTAAATACACATTGAAACAATTGAGTTTTGGGTAAAATCGGGTTTAAACTTAAAAAAATTCACTGACCTACTAATCAAACATTTATTATTACAATTTTAATAATTTTGATGAATATAAACTTAGTCGTTACTCGTTGTAATTTTAGTCTCTTAACATTTACTATTTTAGTGAACTATCAATTTAATTAATTTTGAATGTTTCACTTTTTAGTTTAGTTTTTTTTTTTTTTGAAATTTTGGTATCCGGTCATGTGACCGACTAATACAACTTTATGATTCTAATACAATTGTATGTCATGCAACTTTAGTTTGTTGTTAGTATTTTATGATAATTTTGATTAGTTGGTGATATCATTTATCATTTTATAATAGTAAAAATAGATTGTTAATGAAGCACACACACCTAGAACTTGACGCCGAAACTGACACGGCGATACCGATAATAATTTGAAAAAGTGAATAAATTAAACATAATCATAAGTGTCAATATAAGTGTCTGACACGGACACAGATACAGACACGTTAGTTTTCAAAGGTGTCAGTACTATATAGGATTATCTATTTTTTTAAGAAAATACAAATGTGGAGTAATTTCTATGGAAAAGTTATGATGGCTCATCATTTAGTCATTTAATACTCTCTCCATTCTTTTTTTAAGTGTCACTTTTTACTTTTTACACATACCAGAAAACTAATAATTGTTGAGAGAATCTGATATCCAAACCGACTAAAAATATATGAATTGGTTTGAATTGGATTTTCACATTTTTCGATAAAACTCAAACCGAATATTTTTACATTAGAAACTAATATGCAAAAATATGTTTACAAAATTTATAATTTACATCAACTAATTTTATATAATATTTTTAATTTTTTAATTTTTTCAGTTATTCATATAGGTTGTGAAAGTCACAAATGACGTTTCATTTTTCTTCCTTCTTAAAGTTGAATATCTTATGCTAGTTTCCATGAGAATGATATAAATTATATTAATTAATATGGTTGGTTGGGTAGACGGACTCGCGGGTAAAATTTTAAAAATATGTTGCTCGAACCAATTAAAGTCGGGTTTCATTGGTTTGGTTAGATTTTTGCCCGAACTAAAAAAATACCTGACCCAAACATCATAGTTTGCTTTGGATTCCGGTTTTGTTCGGATTTGCCCGAACTAATGAACACCCCTAATAACTGTAGTTATTTTACTTCACCCAAACTTGAGTGTTCAATATAAATTAGATATTGAGTATTACCCAAACCGGCTCATAAGCACTCTTACTTACCAAAAATATACTATAAATTTATATGGTGTGAGTGTTATCTAAAAGTTCAACCGAATTTTGAATGATGCCAAGCAAGGTAGTATATCGTAGCATTTTTGTATATTGGACGGTGTCAACCTAAATTTAGATGTGAATTTGTCATTTTAGCCTTAGGATGCATAAAAATAGTCTTTGAACAAGTTTGATAGGTCTTAGGCATGTCATACACATCAAAAATCAAGTTTTATGTGTCAACATAACTGCACAGGCCGACCTATACGAGTTCAGGTCAACCTATGGAAGCCTTAACTTCAGTATAAGTTGACACATCCAACTTATAGATCGGCTCCCACCCTCCAAGAACGAATCTTGTAGACTCTTCCCGCAAGTTACCTCACAGGTAGCCTTACAGACCTTCCTGAACACTTTCATAGGTCGATCTATGACCTTTACAGGCTAACCTACACAACTTCAAACTTGAAAAATTCTTTTTGCATCTTGTTTTTCTTACATTCTCTTTGCCTATTTCCACTCACGCATATATATATATATATATATATATATATATATATATATATATATATATATATATATATATATATATATATATATATATATATATATATATATATATATATATATATATATATATATATATATATATATATATATATATATATATATATATATATATATATATATATATATATATATATATATATATATATATATATATATATATATATATATATATATATATATATATATATATATATATATATACACACACACACACACACATGCACCTTCTTCTAATTTAAAGATTTTCTAGAGATAAAACTTAAACGAAACCAGATTACAAAGTTGTCTATCATCTTCATCCTTTCTTCTATGCATACACACAAGTGAACTGCACATAATTATTTTTTTATTGAGTGACCATCTAGATTAGGGTTGATAACGTCCAATTAGGTTTGGTGTAACCGAGAATATTGGGTTGAAAATTTTGTTTGTTTCAAATAAGAAAATCAAAGGTGGGGTTTTCCTTCAAGATCGGTGTGATTTGGAGGTTTTGGACAAGACCACGTCAACACATATTCACCGAGTGAAGGCCTTGGGGCAAGGTGGTTTCCTTGCAATGGAGTAGCGCAAAATGGTGAAATATTTTCGAGAATCTTGCATTTCAACAAGTTGCGTGCTCGGGATAATCAAAGAATTGTAGTTGCATTGTTGGTCACTTAATCAAGCTTTGATCAAGAATTTGAGGTGCAAGAATCAACACAAATCATAGAGACTTTGGAATTTGAGTTATTCATTTCTTGTATAAACGATTTTGCAAAGTTAAGGTTAATTGCAAGTATCTCAATTCGATTTCCGATTGAGAGAAGACGTACCCATAACGAGGCCGATTGAAAAACTGCGTAAACAAATCTTTGTGTCTCGTTATCGCTTTAATATTCTTTAATTGTTGTTCTTGCAAATTATCAATTTCGTTGTTGTTTCGATTAATTCGATTGATAATTATTTTCTGCTTTCTTTTGAATTGTTATTGTTGATATAATCACAATCACTTTGATTGTGATTGACTTTTTACATCAACAAAATAAATCAAATTTTTAAACGTGATCAATCACACACAAAGGTTTATGTGTGATTATCAATTTCATAATTTCATTAATTAATATTTTATTTTTTATTAACCAACTTTATTTTACTACAAAAATTATTTTTAATATATGAATGTCTATTAACCCGTCACTGGATTAACCAATTGTTTATTTTCCATTAATCAACTTGATTTTTACTATTAAAAATTATTTTTAACATCTTGACGTTTAATAACCAACTTCACCACTTCATTAATCACATATTGTTCATATATTGTTCATATGTATGTCACCACTTCATTAATCACATATTGTTCATATGTACGTCACTATTCATAAACACCGTATATATTTTGTTCATGCATTGCTCACTGTTTACTAGATCTATTAAAGTCCGTCCTTCATAAACATGAATATATTTTGCTCCTTGAATCACCAAACCCATTATGGAATTTTGTATAGAATAAAACAATTGAATTAGCATGTCATCCAACTATTTAACCTTCCTCATGAGATTTAAATGTTTAATCAATAAACTATATGATAATCTCACGGGTCAGAATTGACTCAACATTTTGTTTAAGTGTTAATCTTTATTTTAACTTTAATTTTAACGCCTTTTGGTGTCAATCCCTTCAATATCCTGAGTAGCATATATCATCAAAAGTCTGAATTTGAAAGGTCCTCGGCCAGAGCTTAATGCAGAAAGTGCCCTGCCTGGTCGACATAGGTTTAACACTTCCCAATGAATGTTAAGTCATGTCAAATTGATCACAAATGAGAATAGAATAGGTGAGTTACTAACATGTAATTACTATCCTGCCTATGATGTTGATAACCAGACAATTAAGCACATGCTTAAGATAATCTTTTATGCAAGTATTTTGATCTGATACTAACGAGCCAAACCAGTAGATCACATGCTACGTTTACTCTTCTAGATAAATAATGAAGTGGCATTACAAACTGATGATAATACTAGCTACTAATATTATAAATATAGTAATCACCGTACAACAAATTGATAGAACAAGCATGTTTGAAGGTTTTAAGATGGTGTCCAATCATTCTTGCTGGTTAAGAACCAAGCAATTAAATGATAAGCACAACAAATAATAAAGTAGAAAAAATAATATCAAGTCCATCAAGGTGAAAAAATATAAACTCAATCCAAACAAAAATGATATAGCACTTCCAATTCGCCATTGACCTCAACAATCACCACCACCAACATTGCAAAAAATGGAGGCACCCACCAAGATATTGGTTGTACTAAATCCTTAGCTAGTAATATTACTATGGAACAGCCAATATCCCAGCAAACCAGATTTATTAAATAAACTTGATGTAAGCAAAGGTCGGTGGTTTGGCCTATATATCTATCTCTATATCTCACTAATTGCTTCAGTCAGATATCCCTGCCTTTGCCTTTAGATGTTTCTTGAAATCCATAATGTCACCCTCCCATCTGGTCACTTTTTGATCAGCACACACCCATATCTCTTTGGCCACCTGATTTATGAGCCTAAAATCGTGGCTAACAAGAACCAAGCCACCATCCCACTCATTCAAAGCCTCAGCAAGAGAGTCAATTGTCTCAATATCCAAATGATTAGTTGGCTCATCCAAGAGTAATAACTGAGGCTGTCTCCAAGCTAACCATGCAAATATTACTCTACTCTTCTGCCCATCAGACAAGTGATTCATAGGCATCACCTGGGCTTTACCTGTCAGTCCAAACCTCCCAATAGCTGCCCTCATCTTCTCTTCCTCGTTTCCAGGGTATTCTCTCATCATAAACTGAAGGGCAGGCATGTCCAAGTCTAACTTTTCAGCCAAGTGCTGATGATACTGAGCAATTCGAAGATGATTATGACGCTTGACCATGCCATCAGAAGGAAACAAATCACCTGTCATTAGCTTCAGTAGTGTACTCTTCCCGGCACCATTTGGTCCAACCAGAGCAACCCTAGAGTCTAAGTCAACCCCAAAGTCAATGTTTTTGTAGATGAGATTATCTTCAGTGTATCCAAAACTAACTTCAGAAAACTGGAGAACAGGAGGGGGAAGTTTTCCCACATCAGTAAAGCGAAATACTAACACTTGGTCTCTAACTACCTTCTCTGTAAGTCCACCTCGTTCCATTTTTGCCAGTGTTTTTTCCTTACTCTGAGCCTGGCGAGCTAGTTTAGCTGAACCATGACCAAACCGGGCAATATATTCCTTCATGTTAGCAATCTGCTCTTGTTCCCACTTGTACTGCTTCATCTGGTTCTCTTCCAAATCACCTCGTGTCTGAACATATTGATCATAATTACCAGTGTACATCTTCAGTTTCTTACTTTGCATGTGGATAATATTTGTGCAGACACCATTAAGGAAATCCTGGGAATGTGATATCACAACCAAAATACGTTCAAACTTCTTCAAACTTTCCTCCAGCCACACACAAGCTTCCAAATCTGCAAACAGACAAAAAGTTGATTGATATACGTATAAAGATGATTGTATACAAGAAAAATGCTGATGATGATAAAAACATACTGCAAAATTTTATTTAATATATAAGAAATTTGAAAGTGAGACAAGAAACAAGCCCAAACCGCTGGGGCAATATTGCATCATAGTGGGGGGAAGAAACATAACCCACATAAGTCAAAATCATCATGAATAAAACAGACAAGAGGAATGTGTCAAAAAATAAAAACAGACAAGAGGAAGATAAAGAAACGACTTAAACAATATAACAAGACGTAATAAAGCATACATATAATGATTATATGCAATAGAACAAGTCATCCATTCACAATAACATTAAACATGCTGATATATAGCATTCACTATATTATCCAAAATGAAGTAGCATCCATGTCTGTTGTTCTACTTTATGGTCAAAAAAGATTTAGAGCCCATTAGTTACTGATATTTATTTTTAAGAGATTATTACAAAGAGCAAAAGTTATTGTGCTTGTTTACCATACTGAAAATCCTTTTTTTTTAAAACAGTTGTTAAGAATGGTTCTCTACATACACAAAATAGCTTCTAATTTGAAGCAATTTATTTTCCAGACTTCATTTCTTTAAAATCTGTAACAATAGATGAAAACTTCTAAATCTAATTATTTTGTTTAACAGCAAAGTGATTTTCTTCACACAAAGAGCTACAACAAATAGACTTACCAATGAACATTTAACTATAGGCACAAACAGATTGTTCAATTAAACATCAAGTGATCAAACACAGAGGGGTTATTCCCAGGGAAGGAATGTTACCAAGATGATTAGTAGGTTCATCGAGTAGAAGAACAGTAGGATTCATAAATAAAGCTCGTGCTAAGGCAATTCTCATTCTCCAGCCCCCAGAAAAATCCCGAGTCTTCTTTGCTTGCATCTGCTTGTCAAAACCAAGACCATGCAAGATTTCAGCAGCACGCTTTTCTGCAGTTGCTGCATCTAGGGCATCCAATCGCTCATAAACTCGTTCAAGGGCTTCACCACCACCATCATCCTGGAACCAAATTAACTTAAAAGTTAGCAAACAACAAAAACAATTATAAAAATCAAATGTTTTAATACTTAAATAAACAAACCTGAGCTGCCAGAGTTTCAGCCTCTCTTTCCAATTTCAACCTTTCTTCATCACAGGCTATGACCGCTTCCAAAGCAGACATGTCAGAGGCCTCAATTTCCCTGCTAAGATGATGAATATCCATGTGCTCAGGAATTGGAAGTTCCCGGCAACCTATTGCAGTAAGAAGAGTAGACTTTCCACATCCATTTAATCCAAGTAAACCATAACGTCTGAAAGAAATTCAAAACAACCACAACAATCAGTTAAAGTTACAAGCATAATTAACATCGTCAAATTTGGCTCTATAAGATTACAAACCTTCCATAATTCAGCTCCAACTCAGAATCAACTATGAGATCATGCCCGTGGAAAGTAACAGACAGAGACTCTATCTGCAATAACACAGCCAAATTAAAATGCATCGATATAAAATCATTCTCAACATTAACATTTAGTTATGATAATTAATACTCCCTGTCTCATAATAGGTTTCATCTTTGAGATTTTAAGACTTCTTAAAATAATGATTAATTGTGTTAATTTTATTGATTAAATGAATGTCAATTACTAAAATAACCTTATTAATAATAGGTAGTGGAGTAGTTACATGATTTAAAATACAATAAATAAGGGCAAGTTAGTGGGAAAAAATAATAAATATCACATTGATATTCTAAAGAATCAAATAATTTGAGACAAATAAAAATAGGACAACTATTTTGAGACGGAGTAAGCTATAAATATCTTTTTTACAGCACAGTATGCCTACCTCCAAAAAAAATTGGATTAGACAAGTAATGGTTACACTCTCAAAGAAGAACCAAGTTATGAACCCCAGCAACATGGTAGAATCCCCATGCTACACACACCCAGCAGCTCAACTAGGCGCTCATATACATGCACCCAAGCTAGCAACAATAAGCTACGTGTAAGACTCACTAAACCAGCAACAATAAGCCAGAATTAAGACTCACTAAACCAGGAATGACTACAAATTGCAACAATAATTGAGGGATATGACTTAAATCTTACACATCCTAGCCAATTGTTTCAGCTTTAGAACAAAGGTATTATATTGATTAAAAAATCATGTTTACAGATTCATTGAATTAGCCATAGATCAAAAGGAGAAAGATCTATAAAGACATATAGCATATTGATACCGATGAAGGTTCATACTTAACAAAAGAGGCTCTTATTCATTGTAATTTATAACTAACTCTAACTAAATTCCAATGAACTCATAATTCACAATCTATATTAACTTCGGAAATCGAGAACCAATCTCTAATAAGTGCATAAATAATTATGAAGAAAACAAAGGATTATGAAGATACTGTTACTAACCCGAATATCTCTGGAAAGAGGATGAGAGCAAAGAACACCCGTACACGTCCGATCCGATATCCGGATATCGGCAATTTTGTCAGCAACCTTATCAGCGGCTTTAGACGAAGCTGCGGCGACAGCAGCCTTACCACCTCGCTTAGCTGCGGCGGCGGCTTTCTTCTGTGCGGCTTTCTTCTTGCTAGCGTCAGAAACCATCTTCGATTTTCAAACACAAACCCTAAAGAGAGAATAGAGGAGTGACGAAACTAGATCTGGCCAACGAGGGTTCCGATGAAGAAAAACTGAAACCGAACGAGGCTTAGATTTAATTAGGGTTAGTGGTTTGAGTTTGAAAGAGGAAGATGCAGTGTGAGTGGTTGTTTGGTGGGTAATATATAGAGAGAGAGAAAGTGAAGGCGTGTTTGCGCTTTGGGAGTTTGTTGGGCTTATAGATTGCGTATTGGGTTAGGATTTGTAGGTTGAAAAGTCAACAATTTTGTGAGGGCGGTGCAATGGGGAAGTTTTTTTGTTATGGGCTTTTAATCATTTGGATTTGGGCTTTGTTTTTGCACCTCCTTTTAGGATAGGGAATTTCTTTTTCCACCCAAGCACCACTAGGACTTCTCATTATGTTTTTAGTTTTCAGCGATATATTTTTGGACGCATTATTTGCATCCCTACAAAGAATAATTTGGGTGGCGTTCTATATATTGAATTTGATTAGTTTCGGAGATGCATCTCCGAAACAATTCTGTAGTTATATTTTTGAACAAAAACTAGATACAAATTGAACACAAAATAAACTTTTCAAATATAAAGTGAGCATTCATTCATAACATAAAATGAGTGTTACAATAATATTTTCAACAGAAAATTAAATACTACATTTCAATATCCCAGTCGCTTGCACATCTTCGGGATATCTTCGACCGATCTTTGTAGCGTCACTTCCAACTCGAGCGGAACTCCCTTTTTGAAACCAAAATACGTATCTCAATAACCATAAAATTTGCTCGAGTCTTTAGCTCAAATCTGTTGAACACAATGTTCTCTTCGTTGTCAACCGAGGGTGAACGACACTCAAGTTTGACAACCCTTTGTGTGTCTCCGTAAGGTATGAGATATTGGATTTCGTCTAGGATATCTTTAATGGGGGTGAGATCGGTGAGCTTAAACGTCCTCTTGGGTGTTTTTCTGCCGGAGTAGGAGACACTTGCGACGTATCAACGGATGTTTATTTGTGATATTTGAGACATTTTTGAGTTTGTGTGAAATGTAACACAAGAAAACCTGAATTTATAAAGACCTAGTTCAATATGGACCATCAATTGTCTGTTATATTTATTCTGGATATATATCTCCGGAAGTGCACATTATTATTATTATTATTTTGAGATGCATCTCCAGAACTTTCCCTGGACCATTTCAAAAACAGTCATTTAAGGGAACCTTCCGGAGATGTATCTCCGAAACTTTTCCTGAAACATTTTCAAAAAGAAGTAAATGACAAAGAGTTCACAAAGAGAAAGTATGAATCACATATGCATAAAGACCAAATATGAATAAAAAGTGAATATGTAACACTTCATTTATATTGAAACACAATTATTTGTTCGGTTATACAAAAATTCAAAACGAATCAAAACATGTGTTGCCGACTAAATCTATAGGTGTTAACCCCTTGGACTTCTGTGCATTTGATTCATTTTCAATGTTGTTCAATTTATTGAATTCTTGCACCATTTTCATAAAATGATTCAGCCACGTCTCAGCATTTACGATTTAATGAGTCGTCCACTTCGATGATGTAAGTGGTATGGGGCATCCCAGTTTCAAGTAAACTTGAACAAAATGGCTATATTTTGAAAGACATCCAATACACATGATGCGATCATTTGGATTTTGGGGTGGTGCGGTGTGCAGTGAAAAAAAGGTTTCTGAAAACCCGTAGTGTGTCAGGTCAATGCACACCCTATCATATGTACATGCAATTAGGTGACTTATATCCTATAAGCTCATCCATTTTGACTCTGGTGTCGGACCGCTCAAACAAGGAACAAGAGGCTCATAAACGACATCAAATTTTTCTTTATTTTCGTACAACCACGTGTATGATTCTTTATGCATATTCAACTCTTGGATACGATTCTTTAGCGTATACAACCGCGTGTACGGATAGGCGCATTACTATCTTCTTCTTTACTAAGTAAAGTCGAAACGGCTCGATAACTGCAATTATCGTACCCCTCAACATTAACGCTACGGTCGATATATTTGTGTATAAAAACCAACATCTCATCAATGAATGGAATCTTCGGTGGAAGCAGCGAAGGAGGTGGTTTGCTAATGTGGTCTCCTTTCACAACACTAATTTGAGATTTTGGAGTTGGGGAGTCGCAAAAAACTTTGTGAACGTGTTCAAAGTATGAATAAGACTATGTAGTCGAGATTTCTTCGTAACACCTTTTATTTTTACCAGGTAAGAAGGCGGTTTCATGTCAGTGGTTTCGGGATAGGCAATCCTCCTCAATTATTCTTTGATGTGGATTTTCATGTTGTCATTGTTAAGGGTCAAATTGTGCATACTTTTGAGCTTATTTTATGGCCCTTTCAATTAGTTGATAACTTAGTATAATATCTAGTAGTTTTAGTGCATTTATGTTAATTTTTTATTTTATTGTAAATATTGTGAATTATGATCATTTTGATGCTCTTTAACAGGTCTTCTTGCTTATATTGGATGATAAGAACAATTGGTGAAGGAAAGAAGGCCTAAAAGTTGATATTCAAAGAGTTCGTGTCGTTAAATTCTGCTAAGCAAGCTTTTCAGCGCGGAACCAGCGCCCCCTTTCTGCAAATTCCAGTAGCTAAAGTCTCCAACCGTGCTAAGCAGGCTTCTACCGTGCTTAGCGCGCTTCCTGGGAAATTGACTGTATTTTTGCTGACCACGCTTAGCGCACCCCTGATGGCGCTTAGCACGATGCCACTTACTGCATTTTATGCACTTGCTATAAATATCTTCCCTTGAAGATATTTTCACCAACTCTTGTACTTTTACACTTTTCAACATTTTTAGAGAATGAAAAGGGTTTTCTAGGTCAAAAACCTTAGGAACTCAAGGAGAAGTGAGAAACAAATCTTTGGAGCATCAATCCTCGATTCTTTGACTTTGATGCTAACAAAGCTTCTTTTCTTACTTGTTAATCAAACTACCATGGTGATGGGTAGCTAAACACTTTTGTGTCAAGATTCGAGGTAGTTAATCTTGCTTTTATGTATTTCTTTTGATCTTTTGTATGTGAACAAGGTTTATGATCAATAGATGATGAAGATATTTGTTTTTAATGATATATTTATGGTTTGAATCACTCTAGACATAGATTTTCCAAGTCTTTATCTAATTTCTTCATATATTAACCAACAAAAACTAGACATAGATTTAAAAGTTAATACTTGCTTTGTATCGATCTTTATGTTTATTGTTTCTATTGCTATTTCGAGAAATCATATAGCGATTAAAACAATAATATTCATGGAGCCGCTTTAGAAATGAACGGATTCGCAAGGATAAGCGATTGCATTGGTTGAAACTAAGTTTGTATGCTTGATTAATCGGATACATTTGAAAAGGATTAACGAAATCTAATTTTAACATGTTTTTCTTGAAACAAAACATATTTTCCCTAATTTACTCTTTGCAACAAACTTATGTTACAAAACAAGTAATCTTTTGAAAACTCTTTACTTAGAACGTTAAACTATTGAACGGCGAACATCAATATATCTTGCGTACAATCCCTGTGGATATGATAAAACACTCACCTAAAATACTTTTCAACAAAATAGCGTCGTTTTTGGGGATTGTTAAGTAGGATATTGCAAGCATTGCAATAATTTAGTGATTTTAAGATATTTGTATTATGAATCTCTTACCTCTGTAATTCTCTTGTGCTTTTTAATTTGTTTGGCTAGTTTGCAGAATCTGTTTACGCGAGGGAATGTACCTGCAGAAGAACATATTTTTGATCCAAAGATTGAAAGAACTGCTCATAGATTCAATAGCAAAACAAGGCGGAGATGGCAATGCGCTAGAGAAAGACAAGAGCAAGGAGAAATCTTCTTCATCTGCACCAATTGTTACGCTAATCATGGCACCTCCACCGCCTCCACCACCTCCTACTTCAGTACCATGTACCAACAGTCCAAGGGATAATGCTCAGTTTGCGTGCAACACCCATAATAGGAGGCATTCAGAGATGAAAATCAGAATTCTTGCACTTTTATACCAAAATCCTTTCATTGGTATGGATCATTAATATCCTTTCACTCATCTCACAAAATTCTATGAAATTGCTAATGCAACGGGAGAGCCGGAAGCTAAAGAATAATCATTGTTCAAGAGACTATTTTCGTATTCCTTAATTAGAAAGGCAAATGAACGGTATCTTGATCAATCAACTCCAGTTATGACGGATTGGAATGTGTTAGAAGAAAAACTCCTTGAAATATTTTTTCCATACAATCAATTCATGGAAGCAAAGACGGCAATTGCGGTATTCTCTCAAGGCGAAAATGAATCTCTTAATGAAGCTTGGGAGAGGTTCAAATCCATGCTACAAAAGTGAAAAGGTCATTGTTTTGATGACCTTACTCAAGTACACATCTTCCGAAATGGTCTCCAATCCGTCTACAAGACTTTATTGGATGCTACTTCGGGTGGATCGTTAATGTCCAAGAGTGTCGAAGAAGCAATTGTTATTATTAATAAGATAACACTCAATGATCACCAAGGAAATCATAAACGTGGAACAACGCAAAGTAAGTCGGGCATGATCGAGTTGGGAACAAATGATGCGATTCTCATTCAAAATAAGTTGCTTTCATAATAAGTGGAGTTATTGACGCAACAAATGTCAAAACTCCCACAACAAATCAAAGAAATGTGAGAAGTTCCCAACAATAATACACAAGTGGCGAGTTGTGAGCTTTGTAAGGGAGATCACCCTACCGGGTATTGTCTCCCGGTTGTGGAAGACGCGAATTATGCAGGAAATCAAAATCAATGGTATCAACATCGACCTCCTTACCAACAAAGTTACCAACAAAGAGGCGGTCAAGGTTATCAACAACAATGGAGGCCTCAAGAAGCCGAAACTTCTAATTGTCAACCACAATATCAAAACTACACTCAACCTCCACAAGCTCAAAGTGGAACT